CTACCTACCTACCTACCTATCTATCTATCTATCTATCTATCTATTTCTATCTACTTTATCATTCCTATCTGCCTGCCTGCCTGCCTGCCTGCCTGCCTGCCTACCTACCTACCTACCTACCTACCTATCTATCTATCTATCTATCTATCTATCTAATTCTATCTACTTTATCATTCCTATCTATCTGTCTTTCTATTCTATTCTATTCTATTCTATTCTATTCTATTCTATTCTATACTATTCTATTCTATTCTATTCTATTCTATTCTATTCTATTCTATTCCTTCTCTTATTTCTATTCTATTCCTTACTCTATTCTATTGTCTTGCTGGATGGGCGTGGCCTAGTTGGCCTCCTGCACCATGCAGAGGGGATGTTTCTGCCCTCCCCTTGCTCCGAAGGGTGAAATTGGCTTTCCCGGACTGTGGAGGCTCTCTGGAAGCCGCAAACCGGCCCATTTCCGGCCTTCCCAAACTTCCAGGGGGCCTGTTTTTTTGCCCTCCCTGAGCCTCCGCGCACACCCTGTACTTACCTGCATCTAAAATGGGCCCCGTGGGGGCTCCTGGGAGGGGCGGGGTGGGCGGGGCCAGCCAGGAGTGGGATTGGGGGGATGCTCTGAACTGCACGGCGAGGGGGCCTCTCCCCGAACCCCTGCGAACCTTCCCAGCGGCCCACCCCTGCCCGCCAGCACCTGTGAAACCCCCCTCCCCGAGGCCAAGCCAGGCACCCAGACTCCTGAAATGTCCCCCCCCCCTTTTATGTTTCCCCTTCTCTCTGGCAGCTGCAATTGCAATTCCTCCATGCCACGCCCGGTGAAGGTGGTGTCCGTCGGGGGCCAAAGCTACCTGAGTGCCATTTTGAGGTTTTTCGTGAAGCAGCTGGCCAACAAGACGTCGGACTGGCTCAACCACATGAGATTCCTCATCATTCCTCTAGGTCAGTGGTCGCCAACCAGCGGGCTGGGGACAAATTTCCAGCCAAACTTCCAAAACTTCAAAAGGATTTATTGGGAGTTCACATGCCGGCACTGCCTGGGTGCAGCCGACTCTGAGGCCCATCATTCATTGTCACCCTTGACCCTGGTTTTCTCCCCCACCCCCTGGGTGTATCGTAATTCATATTCTCCAATGGGAGACCTTCATAGCCCAGAGTCACCCATCATGCTCTCCAGTTAGATATTTGCACGGCAGAAACTCCAGTCCCCTAGTTACTATCTTTGAAAAAACATTGATGGAATGCACTTTCGATTTCCAAGCTGCCGCACTGCTTCCCCCCCTCCCTTCCTGTTGGCAACCCTAAAAGGACCCTGGAAATATTGGATGAGTTGACACCCACGAAGGTCATAAAAGGCAAGGCTCGCTGGCCAAATGACATTTTTCCTCCCTGTCGTAATGGGGAACCGTGGCTAAACCAGACGGTCACTCAACGAGGACTGTCAGTACTTATGACCAAACGTACATTTCAAAGCAAGCGAGACCCGGTTTGCAGGTTGGCCTCCCCGGTTCGTTTTAGCCTTCTGCTTTGATCGAGGAATCTTTTTGGGGGGGATCGAAAAATTAACCTTGCGTTCCTGTCTTTCTCCGTCTCTGCCTGCCTTTTTGGTCGATAAACCAGGATCTCACCCAGTCGCGAAATACATGGGCTCTGTGGACAGCCGATACAGCAATATGTTTTTAGACACCTCTTGGCACGACCTCTTCAGTAAAACCGAACCACCTGCAATAGGTAAGAAGAAGCTCTGAGCTTCTCTTTCCCGAAATCTCTTTTTTCATCCCTTTTGCTTCAGTCTCGTCCCCACCCGGATTCTTGTTCTGGGGGACATTGGAGTTAAATTCAGCCTAGGAGGCCCCCCCAAAAATGATTTGGCTGCCTCCCTCTGTCCTAGTGAGTGGTGTTTTGGGGGACTCCCAAGGCAGGACGTAAGATGATTTAGCCAATTGTTAGGAGATGATCAGGCTGAAAGTGTGGGAGGCGTCAAGTGTCTCCATTAGTCTCGAATCCTTTTGTGCCCATAAGAGATCAAAGTCCAGCCCACCTTGAATTCCATTGACTCTTATCTACCGTCAATTTACTTTTACCCTGAAAAGTTCAGATTCTTGCGGGGAGCTTTAAATTTATATACTGGTAGTCCTTGACATAGAGCAGTTTATACAGTGACCATTCAAAATTAAATTTAGGGTTACATCCCCACCTGGCCTTCCAGGAAGTGGGGAAGGCATGTTGTGTTTCACTTAACAATTGTGGTGATTCACTTAACAACTGTGGCGTGAAAGGGGACAAAACTAACAGAATCCCTGCCTTGCTTAGCAACAGAAGGGTCGGGCTCAATTGTGGTCATAAGTCGAGAACTTCCTGTCCTCTGGAAACCGTTAGGGGAGAGGCTGTCTTCACCCTCTTTCTCTCACACATAATATCCAGGCTGAGTTGCCTCTTCTGAAATTTCCCCCCCTCTCTCCTGGAGAATCCCCTTCCTCACTACCTCCCATCCCATCAGCCTTTGCCGTGACCTGGAAGGGAAATCAAGGCTCCAAGTGTGATGACCCAAAGGGGTGTGGCACAAAGGCAACACAGTCAGATAATCAATAAGAGTCCCTTTATTATCTCCAACTTTGCCCCAATGTCCTGGTTACCTTCTGGTCTGGAGAAAAACAGCTTGTGACTGCAGAGAATCAAGTCCAAAACATGGTCAACAAAAACTGTAACTTAAATTCCAAACAAGCCAAACTGAAGTAATCAGTTTGGCAGGGCAGGAGCGAGAATTCCAGACGTGAAGGCGCGGCAATAACTCAACACGGTTGGGAAGACGCCAGGAACGCAGATAAGCAAAGTCAACACTAGATAAACTCACGTTTGTTCTCAGCAGCTGCCGCACTCAGCTTGCATCTCTTTTAAACTCTCATTCCCAGCTGTGGCTAATGAAGGGAATCAGGGCCCTTTCCTCCCCCCGTAAGCCAGGCAACCCACGTTGCTCCCTTCTCCGTTTCCTCCCTGCGTGCCCTAGGATGAAGAGGGGGTGGAGCTGGGTCTTCCTCTGAACTCCCTCTCTCTTGTTCTACCTCTCCCCTGCTCTGCCCAGCCGGACTTTGCCCTTCCCCAGTTTCCTCCACAGCCAACGGAGCCACACTCCCACTCCCTGTAAACTGTTCGTCTTCCTCCTTGGATTCAGACTCCGACAGGGGCATGACACCAGGTTTCCTTTTCAAACCACCTGACCCATTTGGGGTTGTTGTTGTTTTTTCTGTCTTCCTCAGAACCCCTGGATGTGGTAGGCCGGATCACCCAGTACGTGAACGGCGCCAACGTCACTCACCAGCTGCCCGTGGCCGAGGCCATGCTGACCTGCAAACACAAATTGTAAGTCCCGCCATCGGCCGGTTTCAGTAAGGTTGAATACATAGAAACCAAGGTGAGGAAAGGCAGCTGTTTAGGTGCTGGCAGGTAATTCAGATCCATTCTTCCTCCTCCCTTTCTTTCTTCTTTCTTCCCTTCCTCCCTCCCATCATCCTTTCCCCTTCCCTCCCATCCTTCCCTCTTCCCTCCCTCCCCTCATCCTTCTTTCTTTCCTCCCATCATCTTTCTTCCTTTTTTCTTCCCTCCCTCCCTCCCATCATCCTTCTCTCCCTTCCATCTTCCTTCCTTCCTTCCATCATCTTTCTTTCCTTCCTTCTTTCCTCCCTCCCTTCTTTCTTCCCTTCCTCCCTCTCTCCCTTCATCCTTCCCCCTTCCCTCCCTTCCATCATCCTTCTTTCCTTCCTCCCTCCCATCATCCTTCCTCCTTCCCTCCCTCCCGT